AGTACGTGTGTGTGTTTGTGTGTTTGTGGGAGGTGTCTGGTGATGGCAAGCAAAGCAAATGTATTGTGCAGATATTTAACAAAATTAATTCAGTTTTAATCCTGACACAGTGGTTATAGCTCACTAAAGATTAACAAAATCACACTGGAAATTAAGATGCAAACAGTTTTTGGTCTGTCTGTCATTTCTTTATCCTTCCCCGCTCTTCTTTCTTGATAGCTAATCAAATTCTACTTTGTTGTGGCTAGATCAAGGGATCTGGAATTGAGGAGAGAACCAGCCTTCATGCTTTTAGCAGCCTAATTAAATGTAGCCATCAGGGCTTGGTGCAGATCCTTTGCTGTTTTTATAGGCTGCTTGCTCAGTCCAATGCACAAATTCAGTGGTGGGGCATATGGACCCCCTGAGAATAAAAGCGTCAATGACAGACTTAGGCCTTTAACTTAACAACGTCTGTGTTTTCTGATCAAACACCATTCCTCTACTCAGGTTATCCCCACCTTGATGCCCTTCAGATGCCTTAGATGCCAGGTCCCACTGGCCCCAGCCAACATGGGAATGGTCAAGCATGCTGGTACTACAGTCTGAACCATCTCAAGGGCACCACGTTGAAGAAGACTGCTCTACTCTTTAGCTTCCCTCTGGTCCAGATCTCAGTCATAGTACTATATTGTTGTGATTTCCATAATGCCTGCTCTTGGCTTTGATGGATGATATCTGTGGTTATGGTCTTGGCTACTTAGATCTCGGCCCTGTTTGAGTCTGTCACAGCAATGACCCTACTTTTCCAGCTCCTGACTCTGGATACATTCTCATCTAGTCTGGCTGCCTCTCGAGATATATCTAACTGAAACCCATCCATTTAGTAAACTTCATTGTCCCACTTGAGCTATGACACTGCAAGGACATTGAGAAGACTGATATTGGTCAAATTTGCAAGGTCACTAGGAGAAGAAGCCATGATGCCAAGCATGCCAAAAAGGGGCAGGGTGATTTGCCCAACAACCATCAATGGTGGTGGCTTGCTGTGTTGTCCAGATCTAACAATGTCCATAGCAGGGCTTGGCTTCCAAACAACCCCAGATACTTATAACAAGCTATGAGTTTGAATGCCACCTGCACTGTGCCCCTTGCTCAGTTTGGATGATACATCAATTGAGCAGTGTGCAACTGGCGCACTGGGAGAGTAAAAGAGACCACCATGGCTTCCTGCTTCCTCATGATCATACAAACCTGGTCATAATGTCTCATACAAGTAGGAAGGTTCAATTTAAGTGAATCTAAAAACCAGTGTGGAGAAAGAGAAGTGAGGACACAGGAAAAGAAAAAGAAGACGAAAGACATTTGAGACAGCTGTGAAATACAATGACACCTTGCACAAAAGAGTGGTACAGGTCAGAGACCTACCTGCAACAAGAGTTGACTGCATTCTGGGCTGTGGATTAGTTTCCACAGCACCCAAGCCTGCACTAATCATGACCATTAGATTAATTCTAAAATAAAAAGGTTATGAAATGCTGTGGCAGAGTGCCATAGACTTATTAATTTAAAAAATCTATTATGAGGCAAAACATTGTAGCCAATCTATTGCTGCAAATATGAAGTAATATATAGAAAATAACAGCAAACTGAAAAATGGTTTGAATTATCTTCCCTGTTCACACTCAACAGAATGATAAATTTATACTGCCCTCTTATGGCCTAGCAGCACTATTCCAACTTGTACCATTGCAGCAACTATCCTACACTTTTAGGTGTACTGTAGCAATTATTTCACTAAAGTTCAACCCTTTCACAAATGACTCGCTTGGAAACAAAATAGTCTGTAGCAGTCCAAAGCCCACAGATTCGAGAAGGTTGTCGTATCTTTTTTTCCTGTCCCAAAACTAGTTTCACAATATTCCAGCTCTGTTGGAACCACCAGGAAGTTCCCTTGCGGCAGCAGTGACACGTATTACAGATCATTCCCCAAATCACAGTAAGTCTCTGACTTTTTCACTTCCTTGTTGGTGCTGCCATGGAGATACTCTGTGTGACTGATGTCTTTGTTACACCCCTTTGTCCTATACAGAAATGCTGCAACAAGACCACAGTGAAGCTCTTAGAAATCCAGGGAAGCAGGGTGATGGTGGTGGTGGATAACAAGAAGCTAGAAACAACTGCCTGTCCATGCGGGTACTGACACAATGGAATTAACTGTTACCAATCCTCCCTAAGAACAAGCTATACATTAGAAGCAAATGAGTGCATAATAAGGTCACACAGAATTGCTGTTCTAGGATGTACGTATTTGTAAAAAAAAAAAAAAAGGGGGGGGGGGCCAGCTTCATACAGCTATGACAGGGACTGAAAATGCACAATCACAAAGAGGGAAATAAATCAAGGTGACTTCTTTCCCTTGCCATGTGTGTTGGTCACGTTTCAGGGAAATTGGCATAATTAATCTCACCAGCACAATTTGCAGTGCCATGCAAACCCAGCCCAGCTGGCATGTTGCCACTGTTAACTAGCCAACCAGAACATACAGCTTGTTAACCACAGCAACAAGCGACCCTCACCAGATTTGCACAACATGGCAAGCTGCAACCATGAGGTTAATTATGCAGTCTCTCTGACACACAACATTTGACTTATTTCACCCTCCATGAGTGTGAGAATAGGTCCTTTGAATAGAAGCTGTGGTAATGCTTAACCCATCCTCACAGCAGATTTTCCTGCTCAAAATCTACCTATATTGCTTTTTCCCTCCCTACTTTTTCTGAGAAAAGGGTTACAGATCTATGCCTACAAGGATTGCTACAGATCTAAACAGCACAAAAAGGAAACCTGGCAGGAAAATCAATACATTCACATAGTCCAGGTTCAAACAACCTGAAAATGCGCAGAGGCATGCTGGGTGATTTTCCTAATTACCCGTACAGGGTGCAGGTTGATTGCTACCCTTTTTCAGAGCGTTTACAGAATTCAACACTCTTTTTTCCTGGTGCTTTGGAAGAATACAAATAAGACTTTTTTCCCCTTATTGCTTCCACCCAGGGTTTTTGCCTGTCTGGTACGTGCAGTCTCACCTTGTCAATTTTCATGTATGTTACAGCTACCAAGGGAAGCCAGGAAAATGAGATGATAATATACTGGGAAATTGACAAGGCAAAGCTGCATGTTGACTATTCTGTATATGCTTGCAAAGAGCCTGGGAAAAATAATATCAAGAGAAAGTATGGATCTGTTTTAAAAAATTCAGAAGCACTGAGAAATTAAAAAATGCAGATGAAATAATTGCTTCAAAAAGGAGTATCAAAGCAGAGGCAATGATTCCTGCTTGGTAATATTATTCTTTCACAACTATTCCTTGCTCTGCCACTTGTCGGTGCCCTCTCCCTCTTTCAGCACTTTCCCCAGTCCCACTAAAGTTGATAAATGGGAGTTACTAGCTCCCTACTTCATATTGTGGCTTTTTTCAGAGCAATTATTGTTGGAATGATGCACTTTTGTGCATCTGTAACAATTTCACCAACAGTTAAAAGATAATAAAATGGAGACCATTATGCAAGCCATCTTGAGTCCCTTGCAGGAAAAAAGTGATACATAAATATAATAAATAAATATTCTTAGAAGGCAGTGGCCCAGGATGGAGCAAATGGGACTCCCCTGGGGCAGGTAGGTATAATTGCTTCTGGTGTGGGCACCTCATTCTCTCTGTCCCCTAAAGCCAATTTCTAAAGTGTTGTTTTTTAAAGGAAAACTGTTGAGAAGATTTGTGCAAATTTAAAGCATTGGAGCAAAAAGCTGAAGGCACTGATGGAATGTTGTATTTATTGTTGTAAGCTGCCCCGAGGCTTCGGCGAATGGGGCGGCATAAAAATGTTTTAATAAATAAATAAATAAATAAATAAATAAATAAATGAGAGAGAATGCCCCTTTGAATCAACAGCTGTGAGAATTCATGAGCAGTTTGTTTGGTATTCTTATGAAGAGATTTTTAACCAGAGCCCCTTGAGGGTATGGCTATGGGGGGCTGTCATGTTGAGCACCTGCATTTAAAAATGTTCCACCAAACTGCTACTTTCAAGTTTTGACTCATTTTACCAAAAGCTTAATCAACTAAAGGTTTAGTTGATTAACTTGTGGGAACAGGCTTCAGTCAGCACAGCTATGAATGAAAAACAGATTACTATAATAACAATGAATTTTAAATTCCTTCAGTGTCTCAAAAAGGCAGTGTCCCAGTTTTGAAGTGTTGGGCCATATACACATTTGTTTATATTGATGTTGGTTAAAAGACAGATTATTAATCAAATATAAAAATTCCCATGCAGAGCATGCAGGTGTTCTCTACTGCAGTCATGGTATAGTATGTCCCTTCAGTTTGATAACTCAATAAATCATTGGAGGAGATGATAGAGCTTGGGCCCAGAATTACCTGAGCCTAGACAGCCCGCTAATAAAATCATATTTATGTTTGCAAAGCTGACTTGGCATGAATTGCTCAGAAAATGCTAGACACCTTCTGAGGTGAGAAAATCTCAAATGAAATATAGTCTAAGATCCTCTATTGCCAAAATCACCACTAATACACTATTACAAACTCCTGAGTTGATTCAGTCTTTGAAAATGCAAAGACCAATAAGGAAAAGGAAACAGCTGCTGGGAGATCACATTGATTCCTAGGAATGTCTTAAATGGGAGGTTTGTAAAATGCAAAATGAAGCAGGAAGAGGGTTATTAATAAGCCAAATGCTATCAAGTAACAACATCTGCAAACTGAAGAATGTCAAAAATATCTATTGGGATGAAGGAATGGTTCTGTTTCCAGCTAACTTTCCAGATGCAGCTTCCCATTCTCATCCAGGAGAAAGAAATATTTCAGTATCCAAAGCTCACTTGCTGCAGATAAAGTATCAAATCACAAAAAGCAACCAACAGGAGAAACTAAAAGATTGTCCCTATATTGCTTTTTAAAGTGCAGCTGAAGCTAACGAAACTCTTGAAAATGCACAAACCTCTGATTGTACATGCCTCGAAAGTTGTAATTTGCTCTGTGGTTTGGATTTGGCTTTTGATCTAGTGGTCTATAGATTGCAGGCTCTCCTCTTTTCATAGCAAGACCATTCAGTTCCACTGTTGGGGTGATACTGCCTGTTAACAAATAAGGACACATATGCAACATTTTAAAAGTGCATTCAAAATTCAAAGATCAGCCCTGTTTCCATTTCTACTTTTGTAACCATAAAATATTAGTAACCAGAAAGAAACAAGTGGTTTTAAAATTCAATTCTAAATTTTAATGCTACTGTTTATAAAGGCTCTCATCTCAAACCAGGAGATTTCTGTTGACTTTATTACAACTATGTAAGAAGGGAGTAAGTGGACTGAAAGCTGCATTGCACATTTTATTTACAAGGCTTTACAGTTGTCCATCTGAATACAGAAAATGAGCATTAATAGATGAGACCTTTTCCTACATAGAGTATATACTGCATACGAAAGTGCACATGTGATGTAAGACTGGCCAATGGTTGGTTGGTTGGTTGGTTTTTGGTCCAATATAGGTACTTCATAAGGTAAGCGCATTCAGATGGCCATTCCCACATCAATATGTACAAGCTCTAGTCAACAACTACCTTTTCCAACCAGCCACCTTGATGAAGTTTGAAGGAGCTGATCCCCGACCCTAAACCTACCCTTTACATGAGGCATGCTGTACCCTTCAGTCCAAGGGTCAAATTCCACCAGAGACATTCTTGAGAACTGCAGTGGTAAGACCAAAAGGGGAAAAAAGAGGGGGAGGGAGGCTCTGACCAGATTGAGACTCTATGACTTATGTGCCTCCAGCCAGCATGCATTCCGGGCAAAGAGGTAGGTGGCTCCCTTCAGGTGCTGAATTTTAATACACATGCTTTTACTTGCATGAGTGCTTGACACATTCAACTGGAAACATGCATAGGACTGATGTACTTTAATTTCTAAACTTTGGGCATTTACTGTACTAGTAGCAGCAGAATACAATAGTAATAACAAACAAAATTCAATAAAGCATTTAAAGCAGTATGATAATGAAACAGCCTACAGAAAAATGTCATTTGAGAGGCTATGCTGAATACCTTTCTATGTAAAAACTGTGTAATGTGAATTAGCATCTAAAAGACAAAACAACTGACTATATCAGACAATGTTGTTCCTCACAGCCTTTCTCTGTGAAAACTGCACAGAATAACCTATTTTGTTCGGTATAACAGAGAAATCTACATTTTAAAGTGAAGTGCACATTCAGAACTCTGCTTATCCATCTTTGAACAATTTTAGGTATTATTTAAATAGCTTGAAAGTCTTAGTAACAAATAAAAGAAATTTATGTTAACAGGAAGCTGAAATTTTTAAAAAGGTAATGGTTTTCTACTGTTACACTAACTGTGACTATTTTGACAAAAATGTAAGTTAAGACTGGTTTGCTTTCATTTCATCTAACATTCAGCTAGTATTTAGGAACACTGATTTCACACTCATCGGGAACCACAGGTTCTACAGCCCTCTACTGGTGGAAGAGCCCAACGTGTATAATCCAAGGCACACTCTGCATATATAGAAAAACCACACAATACCAGAACGTCTTTAACAAATCTTTCAATGTTGTTTCGCTTTTAAGTGATATTTTGAGTGGGGAGGGCAAACCTCATAGCCAGTGTGGTACTGCAGAAGGAAATGTTTAATCCTTTCCCCAGAGGACTGTTTCTGCTATCCCTAGATACTGTATTCTACTACATATACGGATGAAGTGATTTAAAAGAAAGAAAAGATGTAGCTCACTAGCAAAGCACATACTTTTTCAAAACATACTGTATTCAGTCATGTACTCCTCCCCACCCCTACTTTTTTTTTTTGCAGAGTTCTGCTGAATTCCCATGCTGCCACTGTTGACTTTGCTGCAGTGGTGACTATAATTGCAGCAATTTTGAAGGTAAACAAGGTGCACCCCCACACCTGTGTAAAATAGCTGTGGCTTTTGCTGTTGCCTCTGCAGAACAGAATCAAACTACTCCAGGGAGGCATGTAGTCCCTGATCTCCAGAAGTTGCCTACCCCTGCTTTACATTCATGAATACCCAATTTAATTCCCAAATACTTCCAGTTAAAAGGATCTCAGCTTAATAAAACCTGATCCTGAGACTTTGGAGGGCAAATGCTGCTCAGAGTTGACAACAGTGGTCTACATGGGCCAGTGGTGTTACTCAGTATAATACATCTTCATTTAAAACAAGATTGTACAAAAACCAATGTATTGTCAATTAATACAGCTGGTAGTTCTCACTTTGTTTTTTTTAAATCACTGAAGGCAGATTTTTAACAGCATTCAAATAAATGTAAATGTTTAGCAATTCAAAGGTCCATAAAATTTGATTTGACTTTTACTTAAGCAAGAAATGCATCTTGCATAATATTACTCTAGATGGAATAGGTATTTTCCAAGCCACAGCAATATAAGGAACTTCAGTAGACTGGTTCAGATGCAAAATAAATTCATAATTAATTGTTGTAAGAACAAATTACAACACCCTTTAGTCCATATGCTCCCCCTCCTACTCCTGGACTGCACCTATGAAGAGTGGTGTAGAGGGTTTCACTTTTATTTTAGATTAACTGCAACTTGCCATGTCATTCAAACCTGGAAACACTGTGCTGCAATCACATAACACACACAAGCTACTGTGTGATTCACTGTTTTTTACCATGATCCACCTGAGAGTCAATCAAGTTGTTTCTACTTATCAGGGTTTCCATTCTTCCTGCTCAGTCTTCCCACTGTTGGCAGGTATTCCATCAGTCACTGTTCTGGAAATTCAATCCTAATGTTTTCTGTCCACACCTAAAGGCCAGATGATTGGAGAGGCTCCTGCAGTTATGACTGTTTTCAGAGGACCCTGTGGTATTTGCATACCATGACTCTGGAAACCATTATCTTGAATTGAGAAAACACAACAAGTCATGGAGCTACAAAAGAAACCGATGAACATTCCATTTTTTTCATGGTTTCTAAAGGCCAAAATTACCATGGTGAAATACCATGACTTTATTCTGAAAATGTGACAGAACAACAATTGTAAAAAACCACAATGGCTTGTTCTGTTGTCTGAACTTCAATCCATATGATGTTAGCTTGCTTCAGCTAAACATAGTTAAGATTAACTAGAGCTTAGTATTCAGGTGATTTAGTAAACTGTGTTTAACCTAAAGCAGAAAAAGAAAATTGTGATCTCATCATGGCTCCACAAAGTAGGGCCAGAAGGAAGTGTTCAAATCTGAGGGACACTGAGGCTAAATAGTGTAAACAACTATTTAGGGTTTCATTCAAACACAGCCAGTATGCTTGTAGTGGAATTAGAGGACTATCTTGTAATATTTACAATAGCTTTCCTTAATTGGGTTCCCTCCCAAAATTAACTGGCTTCCCATCAGCCCCAGCCAGCTTAGGTAAGGTTTAGCAATGCTGGGAGTACACTGATTGGAGAAGACTGTGCTTTACTGGTAATCTCTAATTTAATAATTTTTCTTTCAACTGAAATGATTCCTCTGTGACTCATCTCTTCAGAAATTGTTGACAAGCTTAAGTTAGAATTTGTAAAATAAGTAAGATCTTCTTTGGTACATTTTATTAGGTTTGCTTTTTGCATTTATAATACATATTTATTATATTTATGTCTAACCTTTTTCCTTCAAGAAACTCAAGGCAGCCTACATAAACCTTTTCTTCCTCACAACCTTATTCTCACTACAACCCTCTGAGGTGGTTTAGGCTGACAGCTTCACCTGTGAGCTTTGTGTCTAGAACTGAGATTCTAGACAAGCATTCTAACCACTGCACTGCCTCTGATAGTATAAAATGTAAAGGGAAGCCGTTGAACAAAAGACGGAAGGTTACCAATATAATTGTTGTACATAATGCTGTATTTAATAAAGATATTTTAGGCTGCATTCCTATAAATCCTCCCCTAAAGTAAACCCTACTAATCTCAAAGGGGCTTACATATGAATACACATATGTAGGATTGTACTGTAAATATATTTTGTTTTATAATTTGGCAAACAGAGGTCTAATTTCAAACACTATTTTCAGGACACCATTTAAACCAGGCAAAATATTTATTCTGTGTTATCTGACATGGCATTAAAGGTTAAGTGAACAGTAAGAGAACAAGACATAAATTGACCTTCTGGCAGAGATTTCACTTTCAACGCTCCCTTGTCTGATTTCATAAATTAAGAAAAATAATAATTTCCAACTTGTTGCTTTTTGTGTGTGGTCAGTTTTTCCCTGGCCAATTAATTTCATTTACAGCTTTATCTTTCAGAGTGGAAGCTTGCATAAACATGGTATGTCAACAGCTTCTTCTATAGCAAATAAAGCAAACAACCACATATATTCATGATAAAATTTCATTTGCGGCGTATAGGTAGCCCACTAGTATTCTTCTGATTGCTTTTTTCAGCCTCACTGATTAATAGGTTGGTGTTCCACCTTTCTGCAAAACAAAAACAAAAAAGGCACTCAAATGGCCAACAATGAATATTAAGGGAAGTGGAATCATGACCTACCTGGATTATTATTAACATTGTTTTTTGGTGGTCTAGGTGTTGGCTTGGAGAGGGTAGTTTCATGTAGAGCTTTGCTAGCAGCAGAATGATGAGCTTTTTTAATACTGCTTCCTTCAGCTTCCCATGTCTGCTCACCAAGAGTCAGCTGCACTGTAAACATCTTCAAAGACATAAAGGTAAATAAAAATAATGTAACCCAGACTCTGCCCCCTGGAAAATATGTCGTATACAAAACAGCCACATTCCTTGGGTCTGATGGAACCCCACATCCAAACTACATAATATGGCCATCAATGAAGGCCTCCACTTTTATAGGTTGAGTCATATTCAGTTCTCTAATCATTAGCAGACTTAATCATAGATAAGGCAAAAAATTGCACAGTAACTTGACTTAGCAGATTCTCCTCACACATTATATGCTTCATCTCAAGCACTGGAAGCAAGTGCTGGATGGATAGTCCACATTCTAGGTGGCCACCTATCATGCCACCTGTGCACCTGAATTTATGCATCGTGCAATCCTCTGGTTCCTGGAGGGCCATAAGATTCTTTGGGTCAGCCACCCTCACCCCAGATTGCCCCTGGTGAAGAAAGAACTGAGAGTACCTTCCCCAACCTACCCCAGCCAGCACAGGAAGAACCACACTGGTTGCATCTCAGAGATCTTAAGACCAATCTTGGAGAAAGGAATTGAGAAAAAGAGACTGGCGCCACCAAGATATAAGGTCTCCTGGCAGTGCCATTGTCTCCTACCCTCCTGTCCAAAATACTGCAGCTAGGTAGCTGAAATCAGCTATCAAGTTAAAATGCAGGGCAGAAGAAGCGCAGAAGTGATCTTCCTCACTCTGCTTCTCCTGTCCTCCATAGGATGCCCATAATCCTCTGATCCAGAGAGATATAGGCAGCCTCATCACACTGCATCCTTGCTTACTTTTTTCCTCTTGCCATACATATTTTGTCTGTAAATAAAAATAAATAGAGCACAGTGAAAGGACTGGGGTTTACATAAAGTAAATGTGAAATTTTTATTAGGGACTCATAACTTCAGAGATGTTACATTCAGCAATGAATAATCTGTTAAGGAATCTGTTCAAATGCAAAGAAATTATAGATACACTGAAAGAGTGTATCTTGGCATGTTACCTTGGCATGTGCAGGTCCTCGCTCATTCAGAAGCTTGTACAGGGGTTGAATTCTATTGAAACGAGCTAACTCATTGACCAGACACATTGGAGTTTTCTCTTTGGGGTTTGCCATGTTAGCTTGGAATGGAACTGCAAATAAACATGTGAGAAACCTTTTTGTGTGGAGACATATTATTCATCACTTTAAAGAAAAAGTAACATTTATATATTAAAAGAAGAAATAAAATATATTGTGAGAAGCATTTCTTTCTCAGACACTAACATAGCGATCCTGTGGCTCCTAGGCAGCACCAAGAGAGCCACAGGACTTTCCTGAGCCCCAAAAAAGCAGCATGCATGGAAAGAACCATGCTGGTTCTTCTCCAAAGCAAAAATGACATCAGAGAAGGAATTTGGGGACAGGGATTGAGACCAGCACCACCAAACTACATAGTATCCTGGCAGTGTCTTAGCCTCTTTCCTGACCTTTTCAAGGTGCCACAGTTAGACAAGAGAAACTGGCCAGGGAGCTGCTTTGCAGTGCAAGAAGAAATACATACCACTCTTGTCCTGCATAGGATGCCCATAATACTCCGAGAACAAAAGGTCCCGGACCACCCTGTAGCATTGCATCCCAAACTGAAAAAAGTATCACCATAAGGTGATACCCTAAACTGGGAAAAGAACTCCATTTAGATTATGAAATTCTACAAAGTAACGGCCTTGCATGTATTTAATCATAGGCAATTCAACATATATACATTGTAAGGTGCAATCCTATGCATGCTTAGACAGACAAAAGTCTTACCATTCCTAGCATTCCCCAGACAGCAGTGTATAATATTGAATCCTTACAAATTCATTACATATTCATAGGATTGTTCCCTGAGAAATTATTTAACTATAATCCAATATAACCTGTATATTTCTAAAATCTTTTGTGTGCTTATCTTGGGAGCTAACTGTGATTTCTAGAATTATTATGTTTTTTTATTTCCCTAGTTGTAGCATTTCCTTTAAACATTTTTATCTCTGCTCCCCAATGCTTGCCTGGCATAAAATGTGCTAATAATTATTCCTCCTATAATTTCTCACAGTTTCTCCTGCAATTCTTCACAGTCTTCATAGTCACCCCCACACAAAATACCATGGCAGGGTTACTTTCTGGGCTAATGTTTCTGTGTATGAAGAAAGGAATTACATTTTATTTCCAGAGCTAACAAAGAAATAAGACTTACTGCCAAGAAAAGCCCAAGACATTTTGTTTCAGGATAGGAAATGCACTTGGATCACTTCCTGTACTTTTAATTAAGCTTTTCAATTAAAAGTGCAGTCAAGCCGTGAGAGGTGAATTCTTTTCAGGGTTTCTAATAGTTGAAGAAAGGCTTTCCAGAAGCTAAACTCAGCAAATACTGCTAAGTTCAACAAAAACAATGAAAGGCAAAATCCTATGCATGCTTAGACAGAGGAAAGTCCTGCAACTCCAAGCATGCTCCATGAAGCGTGGTTAGCTGGAGCATGCTAAGAGTTGCGGGAGTTTTTGCTGACATTTTGGCTCTTTGTGATGTATGTGTGTGTGTATACACATGCATGTGCATGCACACCTGTGTGTTTTTAATTCCAAAGCTGATAACATAAAAAGACAACCCCAGTTATATAAGACACCGCCTTACCCTGTGGGTTACTAGAAGGCACAGAATGACGCATTGCAGAATTGCTACAGTTAACAGCTGATTCTGAAGTGGATCCATTCACTGAACTCTGAAAAACTGCTGAACTTGTTACAGATGGGGACAGCGACACTGGGGAAAGGGCAGATCCAGAGTGGTTTGGTGTAGCCTGCATTTTAACATGTGCCATTGATTTTTACTAAGAGGGGAGAAAAACACACCAGCATTATTAGGATTATTTTGTACATCTTTCCATCTATCCCTAAAGGAAACTGCATATGTGATCAATGTATGAACAACTGCGCTGTTCAAAAAAGGGTTGTAAACTATCTCCCAGGACAACACAAGTTCTTTTCCTGGTACCTAGCAAGTTGTTCCACCCTTCTCACTGCTTCTTCTTTAATTAGCATATTTTCTTACCAGCAGTTAGTATTGTTCTGAAAAAGATGTGGAAACCTGTGGATTCAAAGCAGGTGTTTTGTGTGTTGGAGCTCAGACCCTATCTCTGCTTGTAGTCAAGTCAGGTTCCTTGACTTTTGTTTTGCCTCCTCTTTTAGCCACTTGGTGTGGCTACAGCAGCTCCCCTTACTGCAGTTTCTCATATTGACAAATGTATCCATGGACCAAGCGGTTGTCCTAATGCTGTTATACTGGGTGCCTTAGACAAATCCTTCTTACAATCAGTTTTATGTCCTTCCTGCAGTCACTCTTGCAAGGGCCTTCCTCAGAAGACTTCCCTAGCAGTTGTAAGAGTTGGCATATTTCACAAAAAAATGCAGAGTGTTTACACTGAAATAAAAAGTACCCAGAATGTCCAGGAGATTCCTATAATGGTTTGACTAGTGGCAGATGCTGCTTGTTAAGATATGACTTATAACAATCCTGTATGGTAGGTCACTGCAATTTCCTTCTAATAAGCAGAAAGTGCTTGTCTGTTGTCAATCAACTGCACTGAAGTTGATTGACTACTGATCAACTGGAACTACTGATCTAATTTACATCCATGGACTGGACTTGTTTAAAAGCCAGGCTGCAAAGGGATTATTTAAAGTGCTCAAGGTAAAGAGGATCTTGCTCTGGGACTAAGATGATGTTGGCCATAGGGCCATGATAATGCTGTCTGTTCTGCCAATGGCATAAAAACAGGGAAGCAGAAAGAGAGCTAAAAGGTCAAGGAAAAAGCTACAGAGAAAAAAAAACCATCAATCATACTGATGTATCCTTTGCTCAGAAAACCAAGGCTGAGAGATAGCGGCTTGCAACAACAACCTTTCTATTCACTCACACACACTGCAGCTGTATAAACTTCCTATTAACCCGATGCTTACTCCATAACAGTTTGTGATAAATGCATTCCATATTCTTAGCTAATTCTCACCAACTTCACTGATTCCATGTCCTGGTATTTATTCTGTCATTTGTTCTGACAGATCAACTTTAAATAACAAAAAAGATTAGATTCATCCCCCATAATTAAGCACTTTAGTCAGATAAGCAATATTAAAGTATTTCTAACATTTAATCCAATAAAACCATAACTCTTCTGGCTGATGAATTCTGATCAATATGTTTAAAATCCTCCAGCAGACTGCCCCTTTGCTTTCCTGTCTCATATACCTCCTCTTAGTCCACAAATACACCCCTGAAAGCTTCTTTGCTTGTATGCAGTTTTTAACCAAAAAACATAACTTTTGCTTCACACACAGAAGCTGAATTGCAAACATTCTGACAGATTTGCTCCTTAAACAATTGTGAGAGTTCAGAGGGTACATGAGGGACTGTGGGTAGGAAGCCAACAATAACTAATTTTTAAATATATCTGAAACAGGAAAGTTGCAGGAAACCATCAGAGGCAGCTGGACAGTTAAGTTAAAGGAATACTAAACAAGAATGATGAGATTGCAAAAAAAAAACTGGACAAATTCTTTTCATCTACCTTCACTGCAAAAAAGTATGTCAGATATCTATACTTGAACTGATGTTTTCAGGAAGGGAGTCTGAGGAACTGAGGCAAACAGTGGTGACGAAAGATCTCAATGCAATGACAAACTGAAAGTTAATAAATTACAGAGCACAGATGGTATGTATCCTAGAGTTCTTAAAGAACTCAAATGTGAAATGTGAAAATTGTGATCTTCAAGTTTCTATGTACCTGAGAACTGGAAAATGGCCAATTCTTAAAAAGGGATCCAGGGAATTCAGGAAACTAAAGGCCAGTTAGCCCATATAGGACAAACCCTGGTTAAAAAAATAAATAAATAAACCAGTGTAGCTTCTGCAAATTTAAGTCTTGTCTCACAAGCCTTGAGGATGTCAATTAAGAGTTGAGTTATGGTGATCCATTAGAGTTCCAAAGGGTTTTTGACTAATTCCTTTACAAAGACTCCTGAGTAAATGTAGCGGTTGTGGTATAAGAAGAAAGGTCTTAGAATGAATCAGTAATTAGTTAAAGAACAAAAAGCAGAGAGTAGGGTAGATACTCTTAATGTAAATGGTGGCATTTCAAAGGGATCGGTATTGGAACTATTACTTTTCCACTTATTCATGCATATGTTTTAATGTGAGTGTAAACTGACATTCAATGGGACAAGAAAATTGAGTGACCAAGAATGACATCTTAGGATTTTAGCATTCAGCATGATCAGAATATCAACCCAGTATGTGGCTGCTGTGAAAAAGCTATAATTCCATGTTAGGTATTATTAGGAAAGGAGCTGAAAATAAAATTACAGTGCTCATACTCCCCTTATACAAATCTGTGGTGTCACCACACCTAAAAAAACAAAACAAAGCAAAACACATGGTAGTTAGAAAATGTACAGAAACTGATGACTAAAGCAATCAAGGAGCTGGAACAAATCTCCTATGAGGAAAGGTTACAAATGGTGTTTGCTTAGAAAAAAGACAAGACAGGGGAGACATAATACAAGTGTACAAAGTTATGCATGGTATGGAAAAAGTGAATAGGGAGACATTTTTCTTCTCTCTTCTCACAACATTAGAACTCAGAGTCATCCTGTTAGGGTAGATTTATGATAGTTAAAAGAAACTATCTCTTTACTCAGTACATAGTCAAATTATAGAAGTCACTACCACAAGATGTACTGTAAAGCTGGATGCTTTTTAAAGGATATGGAACAAATGCATAGTCAGTAAAGCCATCAGTGGCTGTCAATCTGATGGCTATACGCTATTGCCAGTATGAGACATAGTATGTCTGTATGCAACAGTTGCTAGAGAATATGGGCAGAATAAGCTGTGGTACTCACATTCTAATTGTGACTTTTTCAAGGGCAGATCTTTTGCCTTTGTGAACAAAATATTGAGATAGACAGACCTTGGACTGCTTGTATGACTCTTATGTTTTTACAAGGAGTCACCCTCTCCCAGTTCCGTAGATGGAATGGATTCTGACGGCAGAACTACCCCACTGGATACTACTCAGTGTGTGTAACTTTTACTGGTAAACAGGAAGGTAATTGCCTCCAAAAGAAAAAAGGCCTTTAAAAACTAACCTATTTAATTATTTTGATTTCAAACTTACTCAGTTTCTAGTGCTTTATGATTAAAAAGCTATAGACCCAAAGTTGTTGGCAGTCTACACATTGCAACCAACTTGCTCAACCCCAGCAGGACTGAATCTAGTTAGTAGCTTGATAGATATCAATTTAAGAACCCTTCATGCTCTTGATTTTCTTCAAGGACAAATGCTGGGTTAGAAATGTATGATATAAATTTAAAATATTGAGTAAAATCAGATTAAATGCATTTTATACAAGTGACTTCCTGAGGGGTGGGAAAGACATTGAGAATATCTTTTTGCATACCCTTGTTGCATAACCTGAAACACAAGTGGTATAATCAAGGCAACAGTCACATCTAATCTGACAGATGGCTCATTTAGGTAAACATACCTTCCCCCATTTAATCTGAAATCCTATACACTCTTATGTGGAAGTAAATCCTATTGAATTCAATGGTGCTTACATCTGAGTACACACACATATATAGCATTGTACTCGTAGGAGTTTAAACAGCAAAATCAGCCCCTTGAAATGTACACACAGTACTGCAAATAATAATTCCCTACAAACCTGATGAGAAAACAGTATCACTCTTTCTCTCTACAGCAAATTATCTGCTCTATTCTCTCATCAATATTTATCACAGTTAGAATTTCAGGTTTTATACAGTGGCAAATGGCAAAACTTTCAATTATGGTTTGAAGTTCATTTCTTTATTGTTTTACTTTTATCTCAGCTTTCAAACAAAACTAACTTTTTAAGCTATGCTTATGCCTAAATCTGTGCACCAATGCAGAACATGTAACTCATGGTTAATCTGTCAAAAAAGTTGCTCTGGAAAAGGCAGATGGACAATTAAAAAAAAAAACCCTCAAATTGCTGAGGCAAGCTTGCTTTTGCAAACCATGTTTTTCAGAAAAGCAATGTTTATCATGTTATATCTGTTGTATGGAGGATTAGCCTGGTGTGTGTTCTTCTGCTGACAACAGTGGAGGTGAAGAACTCTAAACTGTAAGTATGCTCAGCTGTTGCTTCAGCGAGAATACCATCTTTAGCACAACCCATTTGATTTCCCCAGTATGCAACTCTGCATAGCCAAAAGAGACATCAGAATGTTACAGTTATTCTTCTTTTGTTTGGGAGTATTCTAAACTTTGTGTGAAGACTCTCAAACAGCAATTTACTGCAGAAGAGCAATTCACTTCCCTACTGTTAGTGCTGGTAACTGGTTTTACTCTCTTTGGCCAATAATGCAGACAGACTGCTTTACTGCTGAAGCTATGTTGGAGTAAACATGGGCTGTCTGAGCATTAAAGTGCAGACAGACCCTTACTGCCAATACACTTCTTCTGCTATGTATTTCAAGTAGGGGGATGCAGAGGCATGTGGTTTCAACTGAGGTCATGCAAGGAAATTCTGACTCATGGAATTAGGCTTGATAAACAGCTTAATTAGGTTCAACTAATGACTGAAAGCTAGATAGTAAAGCTATCACAGTTGGGAGGCTTTTATGAGTACATTAAATATCACCCATACAGTTCAGTCTTCTACCATGCTATTCAAGTCTCATGGATTTAGTTTCCGTAAGGTTAAAACTCTAGTGACAACTCCTTTGGTTTGGGCTGGCACAGAAGCTGTTCTGGGACAGATAGATAAATTCAAGAACTGGTGCCATAAACAAGCAGCCTAAAAATTAGGCACTTGGATCTCTCATTTGATTTCCTTTATGGTTTATTGTCTTAGAAATAACAGGCAATATTTGCATGGCTGTCTGATACATCATCAAGGGAATCATTTACCAGAAGAGTGCATTGCAAGGACAGTTTGTTAGCAACCTTTAAAAGGTAGGCTCTTCCAGCATTAAGATAAGCTTACATATGCATGATTATGTAATATTATAATAAACATTTATTCTAATAAACATGAAAGATAGTGGATTAGTAAAGGAAAGCACAACAGCTTTCAGTTCAATAATAATCTAAAGGAATGCTAAATTCCATTTTGTTCCAGTGCAAAGCATCTGTTATAAAGGATCAAACCAGCTTGTTTTATGGAATTACTAAGTGCACCTTTGTCCTCACTTTCTGAAAGAAGTTTATCTTAGCTGCCTTGAGAACTTTTTGTTATTGAGTGATGTATCTATTTTTAAAGATAAATAACCAATATCTGTGGAATGTAGACAATGGCACAGCTGTTTCTGGATAAAATCCATAATCAGTTATTAGAGAATCAACAACAGTAAACTGAAGAGCGGTAGGCAGCACTGTGTGTGATTAATTTACAACTGAAGCAATTCAAAGAGACACCTTTCAAATCCAGGTTCTTGTTGCAAAAATGTGGAAACAGTTTCATCCAGAAGGAATAGCTACAGAGGTAGTACAGTGTTCAAATTATATTTATTTGTGTTTCTGGAAACTGTGAGTTGAATGGCCTAATCCTAAAAAGGTTTACTGAAAAGTATACAGCATTACAATCAGTGGAGCTTTGTGACAGTTTCTATAGTATCACACTAGATAGTAAAACAGCCATTTCAGGTAACACATACTGAAAAGTCGAATGCAAATGGGCATAGGCCTAGCCTGTCAGAAAAGCCAGTGTAACTTAAACATAGTAGGTTTCTTGGCTAGTCAGAGAAGATTCTGAATCAGAGTTTTTTGTACTGCTTTTAGACCAGATATCCTTTCTCCATTGGTACAAGCTGAACAGAGCCACTGTACTTTTGCACTGAGAACATAGCTATATTTCCCTGCAAGTATCATCTACCTTTGCTCAAAATTGAGCTGCCAATACATAACTGCAGTGGCTTCCTGTAGGGTTTTTTTGTAAGTCATTAATATGTAGTCAAGCCTCAGTAGATATTAACTGAATTTAATTTTCTTAGCATACACACTAAGCACAAATCTTTGACTAAAAGGTAAGTACTGAAATCTTTCATTTTTTCCAAAATTATTCGTGTTAGTTACAATACTCTGAGTGGAAAGGAACAGTTTACATTGCACAGACTGTTGTGGCCAAATGAATTAGCTACTAAACCCCTGGACTACTTCTTCATCAGCCATGAACTCACTAGGTGGTCTTAGACATATCAGTGTCTCAGGCTGTATGAGTGTCTCTTCATCCTCATACATCTTCACTAGAGGGCTTACAAGGCTGCTGGAAGAATTTTTCAGATATGACATGGTTTGACAACTAGAATCTTACACATACTTACCCAGGAATAAGTCTCATTTAACTCACGGGAATTATTTCCAAGTAGATATGCATAGGATTACATGGAAAATCCAATGTCAGATTAGGCTGTCTGACCAAGGGAGATCCAGGTTTATATCCATACCTAGCCATAATTTTAAATCGCATTCAGTCATCTTTCTCAGTTTGACCCATATCACAGGGTTGTTGTGAGGATAGAATGGATGGAAGAACTATGTATACTACCCTGGGCTTCTTAAAGATAAGAAAGCATATAGATGTAATAAATCTTTATTATTTTAAAAAAGCTGAGTGCAACAAAACATGGTTACATGGGGCAATAACATATTTTAGATATTAAGTAATTTATAGCTGGTGCCATCTTTAGACAATCAAGAATCCATGAAAAGCTTCTTTAAGTAATAAGTCTCATGCTTGATTACATATTTAATAAAAACTGAACTAAGGAAGACTAACAGTGCAGTCTTAGGCATGCCAGCTCAGAAATCACGTTCAATGTGACTTGACTAATGTTACATACTGCAGCTTTAGAAACCAGGAAGAATGAAAAATCAGTATTTCCATACTCAGCAGTTGCAAACAAGCAGTTTGAATGGTTGTTAAGATCAACAGTTGTCACTAGGTGTTGCAACCTCTAAGCCAAAAGCAAAACAAAGCACTACATCCTCTCCAGAGACATCAAGCAAGATGCCAGTCTTTTGCCAATCCATGAAGTTGGCACTGGAGTGCAATAACCAATCTTAGCAGAAAAATGAAAACAGAGAAGTGTCTGTATTTTTTTAAGTGAAGGGGAGCCATAACACAACAGCGGCCCTGTTGGATCAGACCAAAGACCTACCTAATTCAACATTCTGTTCCCACAGCGGCTAACCAGGTGCCTATGAGAAACCCTCAAGCAGGACATGTGCACAATAGCACTCTGCCACTCATGTTGTCCAGCAAGTACATGTCAAGGGATACTGTAAGGCTGCAGGCATTTTTTCAGCCATCATGCCTATGTATTTGTATTTATTATATTTATATCCTACCCTTTTTCCTTTTAAGAAAATCAAGGCGGCTCACTTAATTTTCCTCTCAATCTTATCCTCACAATAGCCCCGTGAGATATGTTGCACTGAGAGTCTGTGTCTGGCCCAAAGTCACCCAGTTGGCTCCATGGCTGAGTGGGGGTTCGAACCCAGATCTCCTGAATCCCATTCACGCACTCTTAACCACTAGACCACACTGACCACTAGCCGTAGATTGCCTTATCCTCTATGAACAGCTCCAATCTTCTTCTAAAGCAGTCCAAACTTGCAGCCATAACTTCCATTATTTAACTACCTGCTATGTGAAGCAATACCTTTTCTCCATCCTGAATCAGTCATCATTCAGCCTTGTATGACCCTGGATTTTAGTATGAGAATGAGAAGAGGGGGAGGCATTTCCCTATTCACTATCTCTACACTATGCACAGTTTTATATGTTTATATCATTCCGCCCCTTACTGTTTTGCTAAACAAAAAGGCCCCAAGTATTGTTACCTTTCCTCATAAGAGAGCTGCTTGGCATGTTATGAATTTGGTTGCCTTTCCCAACTTTAAAACATGCTTTTTGAAGTGAGCACAGAACTGTACGCAGTATTCTAAGGGTGGCCATATCATAACAGTATAATAATAATAATGCAGTGGTTTCCCCTCTTTATTCCAAATACGGAATGCTAGTTCTTAGTTTTTGTTTGTTTAACAGCCATGCACTGGGTCAACATTTTCATTGAAATGTCCATCACAGTCCCAAGTTCCTGTTTCTGGCCAGTCACCATCAGCTCAGACCCCAACAGTATATTTGAAAATAGTTAAGATTATTTATTAGGCCTAACATGCGTCCCCTTACACTTGCACATATTGAACTGCGTTTGCCATTTGAGCACCCATTCCCATTCCCCCAGCCTGGAGAGATCCCTTTGGAGCCCCTCCAAATCCATTTTTGTTTTATCCAGCCAGAATAATTTGGTGTCACTTGCAAGCTTGGCCACCTCGCTGCCCACCCCTAACTCCCGAGCATTGCGCGTGAGTTCAAAAGCGGCCATCCCAAAACGAAATCCGAGAGGGAGCCACTATATACATCCCTCTGTTGCGAGAAGTCTCAATTGATTCCTAGGCGACGGGTGGAGGGGGTGTATCCCTTCTTCAATCAATTTCACGGAAAAGAAGACTGCTTTATTTTTACTAGTCCTGAGCGTTCTTTTATCTCATTCTACATTTAGGAGCAGCGCGCGGCTCCCAAGGTGGGTAGACTTGGCTCTGATGGAGCGCCCAACGTACTCGCCATCCCCGTCACGGCCGACGAAAGAAACTTCTCGGGGCAAGCGGGAAGGAAAGACGGAGCGCAAGAGACAGCGACGGCACTCAGCAACTCTTTCCTGTGGCCGTGGCCCACCAGAGCTTCTCAGCTCCCTCCCAGCCCGGTTGTTGTTGTTGCTGCTGCTCCTGCTTCCACCTAAGCTTGGCGCAGCCGCTGCTGCGGCTGGTGCGGCCGCCACTGGCCTCCCCGCCGCCCCCCCCCCCGCGCTCCCGCAGCCCGGCCGGGCGCCCCGCGGCCTCGGTTACCTGGCTCCCAGGGACACTTTGGAGGCGCTTCCAACATCGGCAAACACTAAAGAGAACTGACCCCGCCGCGCCTCGGCCGCCACCGGCCCCAACCAACCGCCTCGCCACCCCGCGCTGGCCGGGCGCGACCCCAGGCCCGCAGCCACGGCGGCACACCCTTCGGCCCTTGCCCCAGGCCGCGAGCGAGACCCACTGGGCCCATCCCCGCCCGGCCGCCCCGGCACAGGCCTCCGCGCCCGGCCCCCCCGCCACGCCCCCCCCCCCCCGGCGGCACAAATGGCCCCGTCCGCATTCCCTTCCCTTGCGCCTCCCGAACGACAGAGGGCATTCCGCGCCCCCCAGCGGCGGCTCCAGGCATCGCAGGGGCTTCGCGCGAAGCAGCGACGCCTGCCGGCAGGTTCCGAACCCCAGGCCGGACGAGGACGAGGACGCGGGCTGCGGCGGGGCCAGTGGCTAGCTCCGGCCTTGCTTTAGGGCCGGTCGAGAAGAGCACGGTTTCTTTTCGCCCTGCACGCTGGTCCCACGTTACACCCGAGACCTGATCCTACAAAGATCTAAACGGGAGGCGACCTGCTCTTGTCCCTAAGCAGCCGATGGCACTTCCCGGGATAAATGAATATTCTCTTGCACATGCACGAAGTGCACCTATTATATCCAGGTCAAATCATGCAATGGAGAAAAGCGAGCAGTCATAGGTGAATTCATGATCAATTGGTGAAGGCCTTCATGAAAGCAAATGTTACGCCAAGGTCACAGTCAAATTTCTGGAGGCTAGAAAGAAGTGGGGTGGAATGCCTGCCTCTAGAGGCAGACAGTTGTGGAAGTGTCAATGAAGAGCTAGAAACGTTCATATCAAAGTATTTTTTTTTTCTGTACTGCTCAGTACCAGAGCTCTCTGGGCAGTTCACAACAATCAAAGTCAAAATATTTTTTGTTATGTTAGTACTATGATAGTTTTCAGTATTTTAATCTACGTGAACAAGCAGTGCTTTATAAGGTACAAAACAGTTCTTAACTTCATACACTGCATGACTGTTTTCCCGGAACAAATATGCAGTGAGATACCCTACAGTTTTGCTACAAAGCAAAGAACTGTTTACATTCATTTATTTACAGGTAGGGTGTGTATGTGTATGATTCAAACAAAAGTTTCACAGACCAAGCTTGGAAGGAGCTAGGAGCATGATGGCAAGGGAAGACAAAGAGAGCAGGAAATGTTAGAAGTTCTGAAATGCAGTGAAGCTGGTGTGAGGTCCGGCTACTCAAGAGCCCCTGCTCATGCTGCGTAAGTAGCATGGTATATTTTTTCCTGAAGCTGGATCTGAAATAGGCAGAGAGTGGACAAGTACTCATCCCACTGGGCCTGATGGAACATGCTTCAAGGCAAGGATTCTGCTTTGCAATAATACTGATTCATTCACAGAATTTGCAGGAAGTCCATGTGACATGATCTTCTGTCTCTAGACTCACCCACCCATGATTTGAGAAGGCTTCCTAGCAAGGGCAGCATGCAGAAAGAAATATAATAGCAGGATGTTTCTTTCACTGCCATGTTCCTTTGAATCATTGTACAATTTCCCTGATGGACACAGGAATTCACAAAGAGAGAATACCTTCTACTAGATACTAAGGTTATCTAAAGGAACATCTGCGTCCATATATGCCCTCCCGCCCCCTACGATCGGCAGCTGATGCCCTTCTCCGGGAACCCTCTGTGAATGATATTAGGAGGGTGAGTACCCGGAGGAGGGCCTTCTCTGCGGTGGCACCCCACCTATGGTATGCGCTCCCCAGAGAGGTCTGCCTGGTGCCATCATTATTTGCTTTTTGGCACCAGGCAAAGACCTTTTTATTTAAAAGTTATTTTAACTGTTAATTTATTATTATTGTATTTATAGATTTTAATATATATAGCTGAGATGGTACCAGTTTTTGAATTATTAATTGTATTTTTTATGAATGTTGTGAGCCGCCCCGAGGCTTTGTTGTGATGGGGGCAGCATAGAGATGTTTTAAATAAATAAATAAATACTAGATGCTTTTCCGTTTCACTAGCAAATATGAGCTTATAATAAAACAACATGCAATTCAGTAATCAGGATAGTGATAGAAAGACAAAGGAAGTACTACCTATTTCAGAAAAAAAAAATTACAGAATCAAGATTATTTTGGGGCTAGCCACAAAGCTTACAGGGTCCCTAGTGGATGTCTAGATTATACTCTTTGACTGAAAGATATTATGACAGTGTTATTAGAATTTGGTTAAGTTTGAAGGTCTGCTCCTTCTTGGTCAGAATAGTACCAAATTTCTTAAACCTAGGTTGTGTAGGTTAGATATTCAAAAATAATTAATATTAATGCTTTGTAACAATCATTCTTTTAAAATGTGTATTTATTTAGCACAGGTATCATAAACCTCTGGATCTTGTAAAGTTAAATTCAGGACAATTAGAGGTCAGCCATGCAGGCTGGAATCCTATACTTACCTGGGAGTAAAAGAGCAATCCTAGACTGCATTTGAGGGACTATAGAATATTTCTGCCTCCCAGATCAGAGGTCAGAGATAACACCCTGTTCCCCAGCAGTCACTGAAAAGAAGGTATTATTTTGTTTTTTACAGCTTCCCTGTTTACCTCCACTCTTGCAGCTGACACAGAAAGAACTACAGTACCTTCCTCTCCAAGACAGAGAATGTGACTTTGGAGAAAGGCAAAGGCAGGGATGATGAAGTGGAAAGGGAAGGGAGAGACCAGAGAGGCCAGGATATAAACTATCCTGGCATCTCTCCAGCTTCCTACCCTCCCATCCTCCAACAGAAAAGCCTGTCTAGCAAAAATACTGGACCAGGGATGGAGATGCAATGATCGCTTCTGTTGCTCCTCCTCATCTGTATTATGTAAGGATAAGCCTCTGAGTTTGGGGACTTGATAATCATTAGAACAGCAGACTAAAACCCACTGATTCGAATAGGGCTAATCAGGATGTTTGTGTACTGAAACACCACATGAAAATGGAAGGGCTTTTGTTTTTTCATCTGCAAGGACTAATACCTGTAGTATTTGAAGAATTTGTGAACTACTTTCCTTAGATATGAAGAATACTTGGATATTTCCCATGTCTCTCTTCTGGCCTAGGTAATTGTACAGGGTGACCAAAGGTATTTCTGTACTGAAAGCCAACCCAAACCCCAACTGAAATAAATCTGGATAATTCAGTTTCATCCAAGAGGGCCTGGAGCTGGTTGGCCACATCCCACTCAGGTACCTTGCCCAGGAAAGAAATATTTGCTACTGGATCTTATTGAGAACTTTCCGATCCAAAGAGGATTTATTTCTTCAGAAATGGCCTCAGTGATGCCTATTTCAGGTAGGATGAGACCACTTGCTCTCACAAAGCAGCACTGATCACTTCCCTGGCTCAACTGGCTGTTCCCTCCCTGCTAACTTTTATAAAACAAGAAGGGCAAGGATTCTGTATAGATGTAGTTGTGTGAACCTGTGCAAGCACCTTACCAACATCTTTTAGCCTAACTCTAAGATAACTAATAAACAAGGTGTTTGCAAGATAAGCAAAATTGATGAGATTTTAAAGACAAACTGTGATAAGAATTGACACATTTTGCTCTATACACTTGATCCAGATAAAGCTTGAGACCATAATTTCATGATTTTTCATAACCAGCATTTCAGAGATAGTAACTGTTCCCCAGCAATCACGGATCTCAGTACAAAGAAAGATAGTTACTGTATGTCTGTTTACAGCTACTGGATGACCGTATCCACTTCACATACAATGTAACAAAGTGTTACTACAAAGCAACTGCTGATGTAGTATCAGAGTTGTGTGTTGAAATCTTCCAAAGCCAAATTATCCCATGTTCTGTGGACTGATGAACTCAAATCAAGGTCAGGCACATTTAGTGTTCAAAAATCATAAGAAAAATCAATGGAAGAGCTGATAAGGATTGTTCTGAACAGCAAACAAGCCACTGCTTCTTGTTCCTGTCCAGAGGTTAACAAACAGATGATCTATACTATGTAAAAGCCAGTGGAAGAACCAGACTAATACACAATAGACATGGTCTTCCAAAACACATATTCACTCATTGATTTCTATCAGCATCAACAGCATCAAAACACTTGGATGGCCAAGTTCAGCAGTCTAAGTCTTTTGCCTGGGGTATGATGGGAGGGGGATCTCACCACTAGGATACCATGTATGCTGGCAGAGTCTGGCTCCTCCCTTCCCCCTGAAAGACACACAGCCTGTACTGCTCATTCTTTTCAGAATGCAAGTGCAAAAGGAAGCAGCAACGTTCTGAAGTTAGAGCTGGAATTCTGAATTATCCTCTGCCTAGACTCTGTCTGATGAAGTTATTGTGGAACTAAAGATTAATTCTTCTTAGAAGTTTGCCTCCCTGACTACTGCTTTTTTAAAGTAACCCCAAATTGGATCCAATGCATTAATAGAACACAAGCAATAGAAAAGAGCACCAACTAAAGTGGATCCATGTATTTTCTTACCATGACTCCAGTAGTATATTTTTGTATAAGCATAAGTTACCCTGCATAGATTACTCAAATGTGGTTTGCCATTGCAGGGACATTATCCCTAAAAGTTCAGTCAGACATATGTGCAATTCTCTCTTCTGAATAGAAAGCAGCTCATGTTCTATTATTAGTACTGGCCACTTATACAAATGAAATATAAACAAGAAAGAAAAAGAAAGATTTAAGATGAGCTTCCCCTCCCCAGATGCTTACAGGTTATTTAAAACCCCATTAGAAGCTCAGCTAAAAAGCATACCTAGAAGATGCCAGTATATTTAGCAGGCAGAGTAATACCACCACCACCACCAAGAACAACACAGCACTTAAGGCAAGTAGATAAGGTAACCCAAAATAATCTCAAAACTCTGTTAAACACAGTGAACCAATTTCTTTAAACATATCATAAAAACAGGAAGTTAGCCAGTTTGGTCAATTAGACTCAGTGAAGTAAAAATATATTAAAAGGATAGATACAAAGATTGCAGAAAGACAGAATCCATCCTTTCCATCTGTCTTCATTGCAGCAGAGGTAGGATGGCTTCCAGCACCTGAAAAGATATATGTTCTTCAAGTATGAATAACTGATTTA